GACGATGAATAAGCAAATTACGGGCACGGTGAAAACTAAGCAGCGTTTCATGAATTGAGTCTGTTTCTGCTCCAAACCCATAGAGAAAGAAATTTCCAGAAAGTGGATAATAACTCGATTACAAAAATGTCGCTGCGATGTCTACGTGACCAGATGGGGCTGGTTGGTCAGGAGCCGACTCTGTTTAGTGGCACCATCGCTGAGAATATTTTGCTTGGTACCACCGGCAAGACAATGGATGACGTACGCGAAGCGTGTCGCATGGCCAATGCACAAGGCTTTATTGAAGCAACACCGAAGGTAAAATAACACTGCGAGCAGCTGATCATGCCCAATAGGTTTACAGTAAGCTGTTCAATGACACGAATTGCCTGCTTTACTGAGTGCCTCAGTTTTCTAGCTTCTGGTAAGTGCTTCTCATAGATAGCTATTACTGGAAATTTTAGAGGTATAACAGTGAATACCCGTGACCAGGAGATATGAAAAGGACGGATGACTTAAAATAGTGAGTTTCCATTGAAGTCACTTCCGTAAGATTCAAACTTTTTCAGTCAGTGATACGTGATTGACATAATCGTATTGATTTCGAAAAATGTCGCAGTTTTTTTCTGAAACAAAATTTTCGCGCAAACTCGTACGGCTTAACCGTTATTCCGCTCGAACACTTTATTTTGCATTTGCTAAAAGATCCGAGGCAGTTCTGATACGATGTATCCTCATTAGAAATGCACTGCTGTTACCACACTCAGTTCCTCGTTTCCCCTCTCTCTCTTTACTCCCTGCAAACATGCGTCGATCCTCTAGCAAGGAGGGAGGGAAGGAAAGAGAGATCCTAATTGTTCCGAGGGGAAAATTCTGTGCTCTGAGGCTTCTCAATACTTTGGTTGACAGTGGCTCGACCAGAAACTTATTGCTTCTCGTTTTATTTTCTCACTGTTCAGGGTTATGATACAGAAGTTGGCGAACGAGGAGCTCAACTGTCTGGTGGCCAAAAGCAGCGCATAGCTATTGCCAGAGCATTGGTGCGCTGCCCGAAAATACTGC